GCTTATCATGCCATTAGGGATTGGTATTGAGGATCTAAAATTGGGAGAAATTATAGGTTGGTCTTGGAATATCGCATATGGTGCCCTAACGGTGTTATGATTGGTAGACTGAGATCCACGAATTTGTGTTGGATGATTAGGGAACATGAGAAGACATGGTAAATTGTGATGAGTGAGAGGCATGACCAGCGGCATTCTTGGACCAACTAATAATTTTTCTAAAAATTAGTGGGATGCAATATTACTGTGCTTTCATTTGGGATGTAGGTTAGTTTTTTAACTTTTTGACTATTTTAGTTGAAGTCAAAAAGTCTCATTTGGGAAAGACTTTTTTTTTTGCATGATTAGAGTAATTTCGAACGTTGAAGAGAGCGAAGCCTTATTTTCAGCTTTCTCTCTCTAAAATATGACCGTTGAAGCCATCAACCATGCAACCTTGTCGGAAGAACAGGACCACCTTGACCGGAGTAAGAAAAAGGTAAAACAAGCAGATACAACGGTTGAAGATCCGCCGAAGAACCAACATAACTCGCTGGAAAAGCCAGACGAGTGCATGGAGGATGAACTAGCAGCTCAAAATGACCTCAATGCTCAGAAACAGGAACTGACTGCAGGAGCACATAAATCCTTTAAACAAGCTCTCCTGAAATCTCGATTTAATGAAAATGAGAGAGAACGAAACTTTGAATGTGAGGAGGCCTATCTCCCTTCTGATGAGGAAATGGACAAAGATGAGGAGGGAGAGGATCAATTGGAGTACAAAGGAACTAGTTCAAATTCGGTTATTAAAATACCTGCTGGGCTTCTTTAAAAAGTTAGAGAGCCATGGAAAAAGTGCCTCATTGTGAGAATCCTTGGTAAGAATATTGGATTTAAACTATTTGTGAATCGCATGCGAAAGCTCTGGAATCCTCAGGCCGATTTCGAAACTCTGGATATCGGGCATGGTTTTTTCATAGTGAAATTTGAAATGATGGAGGATTATTCCAAGGTGTATATGGGAGGACCATGGGTCATGATGGACCGGTATGTGACAGTTCGTAAATGGCAAGCCAATTTTAAATCGAATGAAGCAGAGGAGGACACAACCGCAATCTAGGTTCGATTTCTTAATCTCCCTATTGAGTACTATGATGAAAAAGTTCTTTACCATATATCAAAGGCGCTTGGGAAACCTCTAAAGATTGATATTAACACTGCCATGGCAGCACGTGGGAAGTATGCCCGAGTATGTATTGAAATAGACCTGAGGAAACCGCTCATATCCCATATTACTATTGGCAGATATCATTACATTGTAGAATATGAACATCTACACCTGCTGTGTTTCTCGTGCGACCGTGTTGGTCATCGGAAAGAAAAGTGTTTTGAATTTCCGATGATGCAACCGAGGAAGACAACACAAAATGTGACCGTTAATCCATCAAACGCGGATACTGGGCCAGGTCCATCAAAAACCACTGGGCCAAAGAAGAAGGAAGTATGTATTGAGGCAGAGAATGGAGGTTATGGGCCATGGACTCTAGTCACCACCAAACAAAAATTCTAACAAGGAAAATCAAAGCCGAAGGCCCACTCTTATAAGAGTAATCGTTTTACAGGACTGCCACTGGACCAAGACCAAGGAGAATCAAGTGAAGACCCAAACAAAAGTGAAGCCCAGGAGAAATATGTAGACCTCAATCTGGAACCCCAACCCACATCAACGCAGCCTGCCCAAGTAATGGACATGGACTTACCCAAATTAATGGAGAATGTAAGCCCACAATTAGGAAGTGACCTGCAATCTGGGTCTAGGGACACAAGAGGGAAACATCAGGCCAACCAACCGACTGATATGCATAAAGAATCACCTCCCAGCCCAGGGAAACAACACTACATAGAAAACCCTAAGCCTCTCCCAAATATTGTCCTCTCTAACGCCTCCAGTTCTACTATTACCAAGACTGCCATAGCAGAACATGACAACCGTCTGAAGAACAGAAAAGGTAAACCACCAGATTTGAGAGAGCGACAAGAAGGGAGAACTAATGGAGGTAAGTGCAGAGAACATTCTGATGGAAGAACACCGAGTGAACCAGTTCAGAGCACTAATATTCTTAGCACTCGAGAAAGAAGCGTATCACCGCGTCAGAATTGATTGGTGGCTCGAAGAAGTGAAGCTTCTGATATAACCATGGTGGGAGTTCGCTTCGCACAATGTGAAACACATGGTGCATGTGAAACCGATGAGGCCTTTGAAAGACGACCAGAGGAATGTCCAAAACATACTGGGACTGTCTGAGACAGAGGATTAGCCAAACCTTAAGATGTCAGTTATGGGTATGATAATATAGAATTGTAGAGGTGCGGGTAATGCTCAATTTCGGAGAACACTGCGGGATTTGGTAAGTCTGCACAAACTTGATATGTTAATACTCATGGAGACAAAAGTGGAATTACACACAATGGGCATGTTCTTCAACAATCTGGGGTACACGGCTTCCACTCATGTTGATCCGATTGGCAGAAGTGGAGGAATCTGGCTACTGTGGAATCCCTGTCAAGCTAATGTTCGAGTACATGATGCAACTTCCCAGATGATAACAACTACTATATCAAGGCAAAAATATCCTGATTAGGTTCTATCTGCAGTTTATGCAAGCCCAAATATCAGAATGAGAGAAGAATTATGGAATGGATTGGAAGTCATTGCTCAAAATATTCAAGAACCGTGGCTCGTAGCTGGGGACTTTAATGATTACTCCAGTTCTGAGGAGAAAAGGAGCTTCCAAGTTAATATAAATCAAAGTACAAGTCAGAGCCAACACAGGAGCCAGAAATTCATGGATAGAATTAACAACTGTAATCTTATGGACTTAGGATGTGTTGGTCCTAGGCTCACTTGGACCAACAATAGAAAAGGCTGGGCAAATACCATGGTTAGATTGGATTGTGCCCTATGTAACACTGAATGGAGAACACGTTTCCCAGAAGGGTATGTTAGAAACCTGCCTCGCACTTACTCGGATCACTCTCCTCTTCTTCTACATACTCAAGGTAATAACACTGCTACTCTTTTATTTAAGTCCTTAAATTTCAAGTTGCCTGGCTAACTCATGAGGGCTTTAGTGATATTGTTGAGAAGAATTGGCCCAGACCTCTTAATAACCTGCTGGGGAATTTGGATCACTTAACATCTGCTATGCATTAGGAGATTGGAGCTCCCACAGGCCTTGGGGTTAAAAACTCAAAAAAATACATAATTATATTATTAAATCATAATTCAAATTTAGATGTTATATCTTTTTGAGATATATCTAAATTCTTATCTTTTTTATTTTTTTATTTTTGTGTGTAACCATAGTATATGGGAGAAATTGAAAAGGGTGTTGCAATAATTATGAGAGAAGTCAAAAGGGATTGTAGGTTAGGAGAAGTCAATAAATGTTGAGTTTTTTTTTTTTAAATCAAAAAATTAGAAAATTAGGATTAGGAGATTGGAGCTCCCACAGGCCTTGGGGTTAAAAACTCCCTTTTGCTTAATATATAGTATAGATAGATTAGTTATAAATTTTATTAATATTAATAATTATAATTATAAAGTTTTTCATATATATATATGTATGTAATTATTTTCTATAATTATCATCTGCAAGTAATTTTTTTCATTATTAAATGCAACTATTTATTTGGTTCAATTTTTTACAAATGAAAAATTAATAAGTATTATTTTGTAATTATTTTTTTAATCAAAATATTTTTGAATAATAAAATTTAAAATATTATCATAAAAATATAACATCATTCGTGAATTATAAAATATCGTAATTTACTTTAAAAAATTGTGTAATATGTATTCACGAAAAAATTATTTCATTTCTTATGTGATATTGTCACAAATCAATTCAAGTCATTATTTACGTGGATCCCAAGTAAATTTCACACAAATGAATAGTTTGGATTAATTTATAAAATTGCCACGTCAGTATTTTTGGACAATAAATAATTGCTTATATTTACACGAGGTTAATGGTTGATTTTAGGATACAGGAAATGTCTTGAATCCCTAATTTTAGATCACAATCACTTGAGAGTTTCAATAAAACATAAAAATCATTCAATAAGTGCTTATCATGCCATTAGGGATTGGTATTGAGGATCTAAAATTGGGAGAAATTATAGGTTGGTCTTGGAATATCGCATATGGTGCCCTAACGGTGTTATGATTGGTAGACTGAGATCCACGAATTTGTGTTGGATGATTAGGGAACATGAGAAGACATGGTAAATTGTGATGAGTGAGAGGCATGACCAGCGGCATTCTTGGACCAACTAATAATTTTTCTAAAAATTAGTGGGATGCAATATTACTGTGCCTTCGTTTGGGATATAGGTTAGTTTTTTAACTTTTTGACTATTTTAGTTGAGGTCAAAAAGTCTCGTTTGGAAAAGACTTTTTTTTTTGCATGATTAGAGTAATTTCGAACGTTGAAGAGAGCGAAGCCTTATTTTCAGCTTTCTCTCTCTAAAATATGACCGTTGAAGCCATCAACCATGCAACCTTGTCGGAAGAACAGGACCACCTTGACCGGAGTAAGAAAAAGGTAAAACAAGCAGATACAACGGTTGAAGATCCGCCGAAGAACCAACATAACTCGCTGGAAAAGCCAGACGAGTGCATGGAGGATGAACTAGCAGCTCAAAATGACCTCAATGCTCAGAAACAGGAACTGACTGCAGGAGCACATAAATCCTTTAAACAAGCTCTCCTGAAATCTCGATTTAATGAGAATGAGAGAGAACGAAACTTTGAATGTGAGGAGGCCTATCTCCCTTCTGATGAGGAAATGGACAAAGATAAGGAGGGAGAGGATCAATTGGAGTACAAAGGAACTAGTTCAAATCCGGTTATTAAAATACCTGCTGGGCTTCTTTAAAAAGTTAGAGAGCCATGGAAAAAGTGCCTCATTGTGAGAATCCTTGGTAAGAATATTGGATTTAAACTATTTGTGAATCGCATGCGAAAGCTCTGGAATCCTCAGGCCGATTTCGAAACTCTGGATATCGGGCATGGTTTTTTCATAGTGAAATTTGAAATGATGGAGGATTATTCCAAGGTGTATATGGGAGGACCATGGGTCATGATGGACCGGTATGTGACAGTTCGTAAATGGCAAGCCGATTTTAAATCGAATGAAGCAGAGGAGGACACAACCGCAATCTGGGTTAGATTTCCTAATCTCCCTATTGAGTACTATGATGAAAAAGTTCTTTACCATATATCAAAGGCGCTTGGGAAACCTCTAAAGATTGATATTAACACTGCCATGGCAGCACGTGGGAAGTATGCCCGAGTATGTATTGAAATAGACCTGAGGAAACCGCTCATATCCCATATTACTATTGGCAGATATCATTATATTGTAGAATATGAACATCTACACCTGCTGTGTTTCTCGTGCGGCCGTGTTGGTCATCGGAAAGAAAAGTGTTTTGAATTTCCGATGATGCAACCGGGGAAGACAACACAAAATGTGACCGTTAATCCATCAAACGCGGATACTGAGCCAGGTCCATCAAAAACCACTAGGCCAAAGAAGAAGGAAGTATGTATTGAGGCAGAGAATGGAGGTTATGGGCCATGGACTCTAGTTACCACCAAACGAAAATTCCAACAAGGAAAATCAAAGCCGAAGGCCCACTCTTATAAGAGTAATCGTTTTACAGGACTGCCACTGGACCAAGACCAAGGAGAATCAAGTGGAGACCCAAACAAAAGTGAAGCCCAGGAGAAATATGTAGACCTCAATCTGGAACCCCAACCCACATCAACGTAGCCTGCCCAAGTAATGGACATGGACTTACCCAAATTAATGGAGAATGTAAGCCCACAATTAGGAAGTGACCTGCAATCTGGGTCTAGGGACACAAGAGGGAAACATCAGGCCAACCAACCCACTGATATGCATAAAGAATCACCTCCCAGCCCAGGGAAACAACACTACATAACGCCTCCAGTTCTACTATTACCAAGACTGCCATAGCAGAACATGACAACCGTCTGAAGAACAGAAAAGGTAAACCACCAGATTTGAGAGAGCGACAAGAAGGGAGAACTAATGGAGGTAAGTGCAGAGAACATTCTGATGGAAGAACACCGAGTGAACCAGTTCAGAGCACTAATATTCTTAGCACTCGAGAAAGAAGCGTATCACCGCGTCAGAATCGATTGGTGGCTCGAAGAAGTGAAGCTTCTGATACAACCATGGTGGGAGTTCGCTTCACACAATGTGAAACACATGGTGCATGTGAAACCGATGAGGCCTTTGAAGGACGACCAGAGGAATGTCCAAAACATACTGGGACTGTCTGAGACAGAGGATTAGCCAAACCTTAAGATGTCAGTTATGGGTATGATAATATAGAATTGTAGAGGTGCGGGTAATGCTCAATTTCGGAGAACACTGCGGGATTTGGTAAGTCTGCACAAACTTGATATGTTAATACTCATGGAGACAAAAGTGGAATTACACACAATGGGCATGTTCTTCAACAATCTGGGGTACACGGCTTCCACTTATGTTGATCCGATTGGCAGAAGTGAAGGAATCTGGCTACTGTGGAATCCCTGTCAAGCTAATGTTCGAGTACATGATGCAACTTCCCAGATGATAACAACTACTATATCAAGGCAAAAATATCCTGATTAGGTTCTATCTGCAGTTTATGCAAGCCCAAATATCAGAATGAGAGAAGAATTATGGAATGGATTGGAAGACATTGCTCAAAATATTCAGGAACCATGGCTCGTAGCTGGGGACTTTAATGATTACTCCAGTTCTGAGGAGAAAAAGAGCTTCCAAGTTAATATAAATCAAAGTACAAGTCAGAGCCAACACAGGAGCCAGAAATTCATGGATAGAATTAACAGCTGTAATCTTATGGACTTAGGATGTGTTGGTCCTAGGCTCACTTGGACCAACAATAGAAAAGGCTGGGCAAATACCATGGTTAGATTGGATTGTGCCCTATGTAACACTGAATGGAGAACACGTTTCCCAGAAGGGTATGTTAGAAACCTGCCTCGCACTTACTCGGATCACTCTCCTCTTCTTCTACATACTCAAGGTAATAACACTGCTACTCCTTTATTTAAGTCCTTTAAATTTCAAGCTGCTTGGCTAACTCATGAGGGCTTTAGTGATATTGTTGAGAAGAATTGGCCCAGACCTCTTAATAACCTGCTGGGGAATTTGGATCACTTAACATCTGCTATGCAGGATTGGAATAAAAATGTTTTTGGCAATATTTTTAGATGTAAACGGTGGCTGCTTGGTAGAATTAATGGGATCCAAATTTCTCAAGCTAACCATTATTCTCACAATCTTCATCAACTGGAAAGTGAGCTCACGACTGAGTATAATAGAATTTTGTACCAAGAAAAACTATATTGGTTTCAAAAATCCTGGGCTAATTGGATTACTCAGGGTGAGCGAAACACAAAATTTTTCCACATGTCTACCATTATCAAAAGACGGAAAACTAAAATTGTTGTTTTGAAATTCGAAGAGGTGGTGTGGATTGATAACCCTATTGAGCTAAAAAAATTAGTGCAGGATTATTTTCAAAATATTTTTGCTCATACTCTCACTAGTAATCTGCATCATTGGAATAACTTGACCAAGCACATTCATGTTGAAGGTCAATTAGAAATGGTTAGGGAGGTCTCTGCCACTGAAATTTGGAGGGCAGTCAAAAACATTAAAGCTTTTAAGGCCCCAGGTCGGGATGGGTATCAAGCTATCTTCTACCATACTTTTTGGGGAATTATGGGCAAATCTATGATTGAGTTTGTTCAAAACTGTTTTTCCTCCTCTACTATTCCCTCTGAGATTAATAGAACTCTTGTCGCTCTTATCCCTAAAGTTACTAACCCTGAAACTGTGAAGCAATTTCGCTCAATCAGTCTTTGTAATGTGACTTATAAAATCATAGCCAAAATCCTTGTCAATCGAATTCGTCCTATCTTGAATGATATCATTAGCCCTAACCAAAGTAGCTTTATTCCGGGTCGGTCTACACATGATAATATCATCATAACTCAAGAAGCAATCCATACTTTGAATAAGAAAAAAAGGGAAGATGGGATTCATGATTTTTAAAGTTGATCTCGAAAAGGCCTATGACAATATTTCTTGGAATTTCTTCAGGCAAACTTTGTTGGAATTCCATTTTGATGAGAATCTAGTGGCTATGATTATGAATTGTGTTACTAGTGTGAATACGGCTATCTTATGGAATGGAGAACCCCTTGATGAGTTCAAACCTACTAAAGGCCTTCGTCAAGGAGACCCTTTTTCCCCGTATCTCTTTGTGTTATGCATGGAGAGACTTTTTGCCATGATTACACAAAAAGTGCAAGATAAAGATTGGACAGGGCTTTGTTTGGCTAAGAGTGGTCCTACTATATCACACTAATTCTTTGCGGATGATTTGATCTTATTTGCCAAGGCAAATGATTGTAATTGTCACACCATTTTACAAGTCCTGACTAAATTTAGTGCCATTTCTGGATTGAAGGTTAATTTACACAAATCCCATCTATTTGTGTCTCCTAATATTGATAGGAGTAGAGCTATGCAGCTGAGCAATTTGAGTACTATTCCTTTAACTCAAAATTTGGGGAAGTATCTTGGGGTCCTTTACTCCATGATAGAGTCAGCAAAAGCCATTTTCTGAACATATTGGAAAAGCGTAAGAATAAATTAACAGGGCGGAAATCTGGAATGCTATCCTTGGCTGGGAGGGCAACCTTGATTCAATCTGTTACTAGTGTTATACCAGCATATACCATGCACACTATGGCAATCCCGAGGAATGTTTGTGATGAGATTGATAAGATTAATAGAAACTTCCTTTGGGGTGATACCCTTGCGAAAAGGAAAGTACATCTTGTGAATTGGGAACAAGTTTGTAAGATGAAAAAAGATGGGGGGCTTGGGCTCCGGAAGGCTAGAGATCAAAATCTAGCCCTTCTATCTAAATTGGGGTGGAAAATGGTAAAGGAGGTTAATACTCTTTGGGTGGAAGTGCTTAAAAACAAATATTTGGGACAACAGTCTTTTCTATCCAAGAGGAAAGGCAAGAAAATATCACATATCTGGAAAGGTATTTTGAGTACCAGGGATCTCCTAATCAAGGGGATTAGATGGAAGTTGGGAAACGGATCTAAAGTGAGAGTTTGGAAGGATTGGTGGTGTGGTGATGGGACACTTGAAAAAATTTTGCAAGTACCCACCAATCAAATTCCAAATAGAAACTTCCTTTGGGGTGATACCCTTGCGAAAAGGAAAGTACATCTTGTGAATTGGGAACAAGTTTGTAAGATGAAAAAAGATGGGGGGCTTGGGCTCCGGAAGGCTAGAGATCAAAATCTAGCCCTTCTATCTAAATTGGGGTGGAAAATGGTAAAGGAGGTTAATACTCTTTGGGTGGAAGTGCTTAAAAACAAATATTTGGGACAACAGTCTTTTCTATCCAAGAGGAAAGGCAAGAATATATCACATATCTGGAAAGGTATTTTGAGTACCAGGGATCTCCTAATCAAGGAGATTAGATGGAAGTTGGGAAACGGATCTAAAGTGAGAGTTTGGAAGGATTGGTGGTGTGGTGTTGGGGCACTTGAAAAAGTTTTGCAATCACCCACTAATCAAATTCCAAGTTTTGAGGCTATCACTGTGGATTCGCTGTTAGATGATAATGGTGAATGGGATTTACATTCTATGCATACCTCCTTACCTTTGCATATGGTTGCTGACATTTTACAATTATAACCGCCCCAAACCAATGATGGAGAAGACACTCCTAGATGGATTAAATCCTCTGATGGAGAGTTCTCTACAGCAAGTGCGTATGATTTAATTTTTGATCAACAAAACCATATGGGGGATTGGGGTTGGATCTGGAAACTTAAGGTTTCTTCGAAACTTAAGAGTTTTTTGTGGCTTTTTCTCCACGACAAGCTTCTCATTAGTCATAAGAAAGCCATGAGGGGGGTCACAAATGATCCCAAATGCCCGTACTGTGTGAATATAGAAACCATTGAACACTTGCTTAGGCTTTGTCCTCAAGCTCTTCAGATATGATATCAAATCTTTGGCAGGGAATGGCATTCCAACATGCTATCTCTACCTTGGGAAGATTGGATCATTCAAAATATGAAAGGGAAGCACAAAAATCCTAACTTATTCCTTTTCATTGTGGACTATTTGGAAAAATCGTAACAAAAGGGTTTTTGAACATAAAGTTATGAACATTTATAAGAGTGTGAAATCCATTTTAGATTATAAAAAAGAGATTTTTCATGCTTTTAAGCTTGATGTCACAGCGCATATTAAAACTAAAAGTCTAACTAAGTGGTCTTGTCCAAATGCAGGAAAAATCAAGCTGAACACAGACGGTAGCACTCGCAGGTCTGGAGGTGGTGGCGGATTTGGGGAAGTATTTCGTGATGAAAAATGGTCATGGATTAGTGGGTATTATGGCAAGCTTGAGATATGCACTAACCTTGAAGCCGAACTTTGGGTTGTCTACAAAGGGCTTACCATCATTCTCCAAAGAGGATTCAATCAAGTGATTATAGAAACGGATGCGGAGCAAGTGGTTCAACTGTTGAGTGAAGACATAGGAGAGAGATGCCCTTTTCAAGGCATTGTGGAAGATGCTCGTATTATCATGCGCGGTTGTGACTACACCATTCAGCATATTCAAAGGGATGCCAAGATTTGTGCGAATGCAATGGCGAAGCTAGGTGAATATCAGCCAGCGGAGTTGCTTA